ACTAGCTGCTTCAATCCACCGGTCGATTTCTACCTCAAATTTTCGCTCAGAAGTAAACACGACCTCAGGTACTTGAACTTCTCCATCTGCTGCACTGTTTTTCTATTTACCTGAAGGGAGCAACGTGTAGGAGAACGAGAAAGCACGAGGCTTTTCGTTTTGGATACATTCAGACGCATGCCGGCCACGTAGCACTCAGCTGCGAACTTTTCAGAAAACTCTGTGGGTCAATTTCAGAAGATGCCAACGAAATGAAGTCGTCTACAAACAGCAATCTTCTCGTCTCGACATTTTCTACGTTGATGCCCTCATTGTCATGACTATGCCTGACCACCCATGTGTAACATAAACGGGAAAGAAGACAAAGTCAAGTCTTAACAGAGATCACTGTTAACGCTTCTATCAGCATACGGTGATTGGATGGCCCGTAGCAACTGACCATCGATCCCATCGGTTCGCAGGCATGTCCATGGCTTACTACGCGGGATCCGGTCATAGGCTTTGTCCAGGTTCACAAAGCGATGCAGGTGGGATTGTTGAACTCTCACGGTTTCTGTTTAATCCGAAGTAATGCAAATATCTGGTTAGAGGTTCACTGGCTAGATCAGAAAACAAAGATGTTTTCTTGTACCTTAGAGTTAGTCATTCCACAACACTTCCTCTTTAGCAACGCGTTTCAATGGGAGGTCGAATAAGGTTATGCCCCTATAGTTGAAGCACTCCGTATCATTTTCCTTGTCGAACAGCGGTGTGCAACTCCCATTATCAAGTCCGCCGATGTCTTCTCCATAATCATCTCATTTCGACATATACCTGCATGCCAACACGTTTCCAATTCACCGAGTGTTTCAAGCATTTCAAGGCGGATTTCATTGACTCCAGCAGCCTTTCCAATTTTGAAAGCTGGTCACAACTTGTGTGATTTCTTCTACAGTAAGAATAATATCCGTTCCCTTCCGTTCTTCAGACGAGTCTTACCGCGGGTGCTCAAAGTTAAGGAGTTCTTCAAAGTACCCTCTCCGTCGCTGAATAATGTCATCATGATCGGTAAAAGGAAGTATGGACTTGATCTTAAGGACCCTTAGACTGACCTTCTTGTTACTTTGGAGGCAGTGGATTGTCTGGCAGAATACCTTATTTACCGTCTGGAAATTCGACTCCATCAACTCATCAAACGTCTTCCAAGACTCAGCATTTGCTTTAATCCTGTTTTCCCTCCCACATTGCGTACTTCTTCATACCGCATGTACATCAAAGGTTCTTTGCTTCCAAGCTATCTCTTGAATGCACCGTTCTTAGCAGAGACAGCCAGCGGTATTCTACTTCTCTTGTCCATCAGGCAGTTCGTTTCTGACTTCCAGTCGGTACGCCAAGCCGTTTTATACCGCAACATTTGGTGATGGCCTGGAGTAAACCGGGCTTAAAGAGGTTTCAGCGATTTTCACAACCGCTTTCATCAGCGGGATCTTTTCAAAACGCCGTGCGATGTTGTTTGCAAGTTTTGTACTCGCATCTGCAGAATCTGCGACAACTTCATGCCGTTATTATGGAACTCGTTAGGGCCGTTTTTTCCAATCATGTCTTTCGGGATTCCAGATCCCAATGTCCAGTCAGCACCATGCAGCTTCATCAACTACCTCCCGCACTTTCTTTCTGAGTGAGGAATGTGGCGTTTTTAGACCGTGAGTTCGCACTGTCGACACTGTTCCAGTGTAAACTTATCTGAGTACCATAATGGCACTGAGCTGTCCTCTTCCTCCTTGTTTCAGAATAGGCAGCGGCCACGTTGATGGCTGGCATCTTCATCACGTTCGTGCCGATTTTCGGCAGCCTGTCGCCATACAGCTACTTCCATATCTGCCACAAGGCGTGGGTGTTTCGCATTCTGCCCCAGTTCGCCAACAGCCCGCTCAGCTATTGGTAACCCTGGCAATGAC